TGCAGGAAGCTTGATTGCCAAAGTCTCAATGTCAAAGAATCGTATGTTTGCTATGAACATACATACAGATGTGGCTAAATGCTTAACATCTTGTTATAAAGATTCTTCATAGCTGTGGCATTTGAGATTTGGGCATATGAACTTTGGAGGACTTAAGGCTATGGCTAGCAAAAGAATGGTGAAAGGCTTGCCCTCGGTGAATCAACCTGATCAACTTTGTGAAGGTTGTCTTCTTGGTAAACAATCAAGAAAGAGCTTCCCAAAACAGTCTCAATCAAGAGCTATGAGGCCACTACAGCTAGTTCACACTGATGTCTGTGGGCCGATCACCCCATGTTCTTTCGATAAGAACAAATACTTTCTTTTGTTCATTGATGATTATAGTAGAAAAACAGGGTATATTTTCTTAAAGAAAAATCAGAAGTGTTCCAGTGTTTCCAGAATTTTAAAGCACTTGTGGAGAAGGAAAGTGGCTTTAAAATCCAAGCATTGAGATCTGACAGAGGAGGTGAATTCACTTCTAAAGAATTTCAAGAGTTCTATGCTGCCAATGGAGTTCGCCATTTTCTTACTGCCCCAGGATCGCCACAACAGAACGGAGTGGTGGAAAGGAAAAACAAAACCATTCTAAATATGGCAAGAAGTATGATGAAGACCAAGAAGATGCCAAGAGAGTTCTGGGATGAAGCTGTTTTGAGTGCGCAGTCTACTTGTTGAATCGCTGCACAACAAAAGCAGTTGAAAATAAAACTCCAATTGAATTATGGAGTGGAAGAAAGCCCTCAGTCCATCACCTGAAGGTGTTTGGAAGCATTGCATTTGCCTATGTTCATGATGGAAAGCGCACCAAGCTTGATGACAAGTGCAAGAAGTATGTGTTTGTTGGTTATGACTATAGAACAAAAGGATACAGGCTTTATGATCCAGAAGGTGGCAAAGCCGTCATCAGTAGAGATGTGGATTTTGATGAAGAAGCCATGTGGGATTGGAAATCTCAAGAAGAGAATTATGAATTTCTTCCGTCTTTTGCAAAAGAAGATGATGAAGAAGAAAGGCAAGAAATCATCACTTCCCCAGCATCACCGTCTCGTGGTGAAATTTCATCCCCAAAAGGAAGCTCAAGTGAAGGGCCGTTGCGAACAAGGAGGCTCAGTGATATATATCGAGAAACTGAAGAAATTGAAGAAACTAATGATGTTACACTATTTTGTCTTTTTGCAGACATTGAGCCTTAACTTCAATGAAGCTGCCAAAGATGAAAAGTGGAGAAAAGCAATGGACGAGGAGATGAATGTAATTAAAAAGAATGATACTTGGGAGCTAGTCACTCTTCCTCAAGGACATGCTGCTATTGGAGTGAAATGGGTGTTCAAAGAGAAGAAGAATTCTAAAGGAGAGGTAGAAAGATACAAAGCAAGGCTCGTGGCTAAAGGCTATAAGCAGC